CCCCAAATTAGATATTTTAATTCCCGTTGAAAAGTATGGATTTATTAATAATGTGTTAATTGTTGTCAAGGAATATCCCAGAGGGGAAACAGCAAGTACCAAACTTATAGAATTTAAAAATCAACTCATTTTAACTTCGCCATCAACTTAAAAGAAACTCCATTCCCCAGAACAATTAATGCAAATTCAAAGAATAGGAGGAAGGGAAGGCAAATCTTCGAGATGGACACCACTTCAACGATCATCCCTCTCGCTGAGAATTCATGGGGATTTGTGTTTATGAAGATGGTTCCATGTGCACATAATTAAATTTAGAACAGCATACAAAAGCCTACGACTCAAAAGCAAAGATGCCCCCCTCTTCAGGCTCCATGTAGCCTTTAAACTTTCTTTTTGAAAAGACTAAACTATGGTACACTTGACCAGAAAAATCAATGCCTGATTCCGGCAACAATTAAAGATTTGGACCCCAGATTTGAAAGGAAGAAATATACTATCCACCATTCTTTTTTTCAATAATCGAAATAGATCATGATCACTGAAAATGCCAAGTTGTGTGTCATTTTCTAGAATTTTTTTTTTTTTTACTTTAGCAGCCATATTTTGGAGCGCAAACAGAGCACGAAAGCAGTGAGCCAGAGGTGTTAATAATTTAATGGTGGCACCAAATCCTCTTATATGTAAGCTAGAATTAGGCTGGGATCTGCCTTTTGTTGCGGGTCACATGCATTAAAAAAATGCAAGGGTTATGCATCTGATAAAATATTTATAAAGAGAATTAAAAACTTTATTAGCGTATCACATCAATTTAATAGACTAACATATAAATTAGTAAATAAATAAAAACGTTGGTCTACCTTATTCAACTAAATAGGCTAAGAGCAAACTAGTTGCCTTATTAAAATAACGGTATGTTCTATTTGAAGAAATTATATTATTATCATTTTGACCTCTATTTAACTCTATCTTAAATGTAAAATAACTTACTTTAAAAGATTAAATAAAAAAATAGAAAGTGAAATGAAAAAACAGTAGCAACATGTTATATTAATTTGTGTTAACATGTATTATCGATGATCTAGGTAACAACCACAACTACAAATGAGTTAATCAAGTCGGACAATTTGACTCATTCTTTTTTCTTCTTTTATTCTCTTATCGGCCAGGCCTTGATCGGGTTCAATTAAAGAATAAAGATAAAATTTAAGAAAAAAATAAATGTTGAAGAATGAGAAACAAATCAAATAAAAAAAATTGAAGAATAAAATTATAAAAAATCTTCTATTCTAAAAATGATCTAAAACAAAATAGATAACAATAAAAAAAATATGTGATAAAATTTGATAAATAAAAAAATAAAAGAGGATGAAATTAAAAAAATAATTTTATAAACTATTTAAAATAAAAAAAATATTAATTAAAAGAGACAAAATTTAAAAATAAAATAAAATTGAAAGATTTGTTTGAGAATCTAGAGTGTTGCACGTGGAAATTAAGGTGGAGAGATAAAAGAAGAGATAAAAAAAGTCTACTAATGCAAAACCAAAGGTCATAATACTATACACATCATCATTTTATTTAGAAAACACTAAGACCATTTCAACAACGTCAAAAACAATGGAGTATGTGATGCGTTAATGCATGCAAAGCATGCATCAACCATCTTTTTTTTAATAATATTTGATTTTTATTGAAAGACTAAATTACCTCTCATCCAATATAATGATAACAAAGAAAATAGGTTTAAAATAAGAAATAACATTTGGAAATCAATTTATTATTTTTTCCCTTACTAATGGTATTTTTATTATTTTACTGTGCTATCTAAAATGAAAAATTTAAATATCCAGTAGACATCAATTCAATATGTTTTACTTCAATGAACAACATAATCATTTTATTGTGCCAAAAAAAGAAAGATAATATCATCCCTTACAATCAATAGCTAGGCTAATTGTTTTTTAAGCTTTTTTTGTTAGAAGGGAAAAATAATGATTTTATTGTGGTTTTTCATAGTGCAAATAAGCTGATAACTTCAATATTTTGTTACTGTTCAAGTCTATCTTTCATTTGAGTTTTTTCTTTATTTATTTGCCTTCGAGACTTTAAGCAAGTATAAAGAAAACTAAACGGCATGAGGATTTCACTTAAGCTCTAGATACAGATTATTATAGATTGCAACAATTAAACTACATGAATATGTTATGTAATTAAGAGAACCATGGAGGGTGTTTTTATGTTTTCACGTTGTATTTTTTACTTTTTAATTGAAAAGTTGTTGGCGTATGTTCCACATATTCTAGTGAGTGGGCGATGTTCACGCTATTAAAGTAGTGTGTGAGACACTTTTTGGTGGCCAAATTTGATCATTCATCGTCTCACTAGATATACCTTCGTCCCTTCTTCCACACGATGCAACATGTGTATACATGTCATAGTTGTATTACTATTAGTGATCGATTGTTTATGTTTTTTTCTTTCTTTTCTCTCTCCTAACAACTAAAGTGCATAATTGTTCTATCTTTGTTTATTGTTTGCTTGAATCTGACATGGCTTCAAGACTCAAGTCCCTTAGCTATAGCATGGTTAGTCAGACCCAAGACACTTGAATATGACATGACTTCTAAACCCAAGTTGACTACCAGACCCATGTTGTAACTCTAAACATGAATTACTATGGATTGCGATAATGAAATTACATAATGTTATGTAATTAAGAGGATCATAGGGATGTTTTAGTATTTTTCACATAGTATTTTTTTTTAATAGAAAAGTTGTTGGCGTGTGTTCTATACACTTCACCGAAAGGGTGACGTCCACGGCATTAAGGTAACACGTGACACGCTTCCAAGTGGCTAAATATGACTATCATTTGTCTCACTAAATATGCAGTCATCCCTTCTTTCACATGGTGTAGTATGTACATACATATCATGGTTGGATTGTCGTTAGTGATCGATTATTTGTGTTTTTTTCTCTATTAATAATTAAAGTATATAATTATCCTTTCATTATTTGTCAATTATTTGTGTTTTTTTCTCTATTAATAATTAAAGTATATAATTATCCTTTCATTATTTGTTGTTTACTTGAGTTTGACATGGTTTCTAGACCCAAATTGCTTTCAGACCCAAGGCTCATGAGTTTGCTTGGCTGCCAGACCCAATATGCTTAAAACATTATCTAGACTTTTAATATATATTTTTTAAAAAATAATATTGATTAGTTGTGGAGAGCAGATTAATATAATAGTAGACACTATAATTGGTCATTAATGCATTTGGATCACAAGGGTTTGATTGCACATAGAAACATGGAGTAAAAATATATATTACTAAGTGAAAATTCTTGATGTTCGATGCTTTTTATGGAGAATAAATTAAGGATACATCATATATATATATATAAGTGCGGTTTTACTTGTTAATTAAACAACATCCCTAATTGTGAGGGTTCTAAATGTAGTGTAGTGCAGAGAACTTTATCATTGACATTTGATTGGTTGAATCATTCAATAACATACATAACTGAGCGATTAAATTAACTATTAGAAGCAGGGATCATGATGAGTAGAGGGATTTATTTAGAAACTTATCTAGGTAACATGTCTACATATTGAGTGGTGTATACAATAGGTAGTGTGGTTTAGAAACTTAATTCACATTAATCTTTTTCATAGGTAAATTCTTAATTTTAATGAAATTTCTTTTTTTGATTAAAATTTTTTTAAGAGGAAATTTATTAGATGGTTATCAAATATGAAAGCATACTTCTAATTTAAAGAAGAAACTATTATCAGAATGTAGGATTTGCAAGATACAAACTTATTTGTGATGGTGTAACCTGATGGTGCTTAATATGATAGAACTCATGCTAATAATCATATAATTTTATCATGATATTAAATTATAAGAAAATTATTAATTTTAAGATTTGTGTTAGATGAGCAAGGAGATACTTTACACGGAACTTATGAAAAATTAAATTATTGTTACTTGCTGTTAATCTAACTCTTGCAAAATATAAATGAAAGCCATTACAAATCCACACCTTTCAAGGTTGAAAGTGTCATGGGGGACCAAGGCAAATATATATATATATATATAGATTTAAAGATTCAAACACGCAAAGAACAAGCAAAAGCAGTTGTGATGTGATTGAAGAGCTTCATGGTAACCTTTTAGGCAGCTACCTGCAGATCAAATCCTTACTGCAGGCTAAGAAAATGAAGTGCCAAAAGAGCTCCATCATTTTGCAATAATGGTAACATCCGAAATGTACCATACCAGATTTAATGGCACAGATAAATCTGATAAACAAGCTGCTCTGCAAGGAAGCTTCCTTAATTGTATCGAAAGAATTTTCTTTAACGTGGTCAAAGTTTGTTTTTTAACTTTAATTTGAGAGCTAGTGGAAAAATCTGATATGTATGGGATAAATATTAAATATTGCATAAATTCTTGCATAATTCTTTTTATTATATTACTTTCTTAATTTGTAACATCTTTTTGTCGGCTTTGAACCTTATACCTCTAAAAATCAAACTTCAACTAAGGAACTACAGTATTTCGTTAGGGCATACATACCTACATACAGTAATATCTTTTAAAGATTTATACGTAAAAGCTAGCATGGTAGGGTATTGCAAAATACTTGATAATGACGTAGATGATATATTTTTAATCAAACTAGTAATATATATATATATATAATCGAAAGAGAACAAAGTTGGAGTCTATGAGAGAATGCCATGAAAATGATTTTATTTTTTTTTAAATTAGAAATGCATGGATGTAATCGATGCAAAGAGTGAATACAAGAAGCGTTATTTTTTATAATCTAAGGTGGAAGTTTGAAAAAGAATCCAAAAAAATCTTATTGTTAAAAAAAAAAAGTACAATACTATTCCAAAAATAAATACTCCGACACACCGACAGTACAATACTATTCCAAAAATAAATACTCGACACACCGACACACACACACACGTCGTAGAAACATGGATACAGACAGTTGCATAGAAAGAACTCACGACGACATAAAGCTGACATGATTACAACTATGGCACCAACTTCTCGCACTCAATAAAACCTTCTCAAAAACTCTCTTTTTACCACCGCCGCCCCCCCGCCCGCCGCCATCACGGCACACTCTCTCTGCCTAAGCATTAAAACCCACGCATAGACATCTTTTCATTCACATACCTGGCAAGTTTCTTTCTTTCTTTTTGTTTTTTTTTTCCCTTCCATTTCTTTGCGTTCTTTAACTACATGAACGTGTAATGGGCAACCTATGCACTTGTTTCTCTCCCAAAACTCCTGTAAAAACCAAGAAACCCACAAAACGTTTACAGGGTAACCCGCAAACCGCACCCAATTCAAGCAACAGGTGGACCCGGATCCGATCAACCCGTAAAGACAACCATGATGAATTGATTCACGAACAGGCTTTAGCTGCAGCAATTCTGTTTAGGCAGCACCAGCAACAAAACGGTTCCGCTTCCGGGTCATTTCCTTTTGATCGCTCCGTTTCTTTAAGATACCCGAACGGTTCAGGGTCAAAGAAGACCCAGTTGCCTCGGAGCTCTAGTTCTCGAGCCCGGTCACTTACTCACCCGTTATTGCAGCCTCATCAGCTTGTTAACCAGGTTTGTTTTATTGGGTTTTTATTGGTTTTAGTGAATTATCTGGTTTTTGTTGGATTACGTTGTCAATTATGGGAATTGAGAATCTTGTGTTTGTGGGAGCTATGATTTTTTATGATATATACGAGTTGTATGGTGCTTATTGATTTTTTTTCATGTATTGTTTGTTTAGTGTCAAGTTGGTAATCATGTTTTAATTTCATTTTGTAATGTCTAAGTACATGTGTGGTATGAAAAGGTCGTGTTTTTAGGCTAAATTGGCTTATAAGTCTATTAATTGTGTGGTTAGTTGTGTTTTAAATATTTGGCTTTTGTTTTGGGGATGATGAAGGTGGTAAAATTACTAATATTTGTCATTTGTGGTTATATTTCTTTCTTGCTCTGTAGTTACGTATAACACAATCAAGAAGAAAAATGTATTGTTAATGGGATTCGGTTCTCTTGGTGACAGATTTGTTTTCATTCATATCATAAAGTTTTTGGGGAAATGACTTGATTAGGTTGAGTTATTATGAAGCAATATATGTTCTAGAAGCCCAAGCCATTGCTGTCCTGTCTTTTGGCAGTGCTTGTAAATGCCATGAAATCCTTAAATGTACATCATGGAAGCAATTGAAGGAGATTTATTAGAGAGTAGATTTCTATTTTCATTTTTCATTTATTGCTGACCATCTCACACTGTTCTCATTTCCTTCTGTAATTTGAGACGCACACTATATGTGATAATCCATTTTCATGATGACTGTTAACGAATTAATGTCAACTGAGTGGTAACTGGATGAGCTATTCACTTTTTGCAAGTTACCTTTAATTTCCAGTACTGTTATTACTTGCGATGGACTCTGAAGTTGTTATTTCATATTACATTAGTGGCCCCATTCAATGATGGCTTTTAAGCTTGTCCAGATTGATATGAATTAACCTTAAGCTTGCAGATAAACTCTTTCCTTTTTTCTGTAATTAACGCAATTTATTAGTTAGATGCATTTCTTGTCTGTTCTGGTGGAACAGCTAGTATTACTCTTATATTCACTAAAACATTGGTGAATGGGGGTATAGGTACTATATGGTAAAAACTATGAGCAAGATACAAAATTGTCTTAATTTATTATGTTCCCACTAGAAACTACTATAATACAATGTGATCTAATAAATAGTGGCGAAAGTGTATATTGAATCAGAAGATAGATTGTTTTCTCCATCCCCTTTAAATCGCTCTCATTATTTATTTCTTTTCCTAACATTTTCTTATTTGAACAGGATATTAAGCTTGATGATCTTGAGACCAACCACTTTGTCCTCGTCCATGGAGGTGGCTTTGGTGCCTGGTGTTGGTATAAAACTATAGCACTTCTAGAAGAGGGTGGTTTCAAAGTTACTGCGGTGGACTTAACTGGCTCTGGCATTCATTCTTTTGATACAAATGGCATCACCAGTCTTTCTCAATATGTGAAGCCTCTTACTGATTTTCTTGACAAGCTGGCTGATGGGGAGAAGGTTCTTTCTGGTTCTTTGTCACTCATCTGTTTCTTTTATTGTGTGCTGCTCTTTGTGCTGCAGTTTGAGATTGAGAAATCTACACTTTTAAGTTTCAGAAAAATATAAACCTGATCAATGATATCATGTGCTTTAGCTGTTTTCTTCAGACTCGTAAATTATGTTTTATAAGCTAGGGGCATTCTTCACTTGCCTGTGAAATGTGACCTTTTGTTGCTTGACAATTACGTATGTTTCTACCAGTGAGATCTGTATGGAGTTTCGCTTTCTTCAGGAACCTTAGGTACCGCATGTCTTAGTTTCAGGTGTCGAGTGTCATACGATTTTCTAGCAGCTTTTACCTGCTATTGAATTAACATGAAAGAAAACATTACAATTATTGGTATTTGTGATTTCATTTGGAATTCCAAGCCATATAGGTCTGGCATTTATTATTTACAAAAGGGAAAGTGTCCATCAACTCAAGATACACTTTTATTCTTCAAAAAAGATGGCAAAGATTGCCCCAGACTCGTTGTTGCATTTTAGCCTGGATAAGTAAATGCTCCTTTTGAACTCAAGCCTTCAGGTTTTAGTCTTAAGCTATTTGCTGGTTGTGTTTGAACTACACATACGCTAGCAGAACATTTTTTCATGAGAGATAATATTATTGTTATGACTTGTGCAGACAATATTGGTGGGCCATGACTTTGGTGGTGCTTGTATATCATATGCAATGGAGTTGTTTCCTTATAAAATTTCAAAGGCTATTTTTGTTGCGGCGGCAATGTTGACTAATGGACAAAGTACTCTTGATATGTTCTCCCAGAAGGTGGTGAGCCCGTTATTTCATCCCTAGTAATTCCAACTTGGAACAAGTTTTATGTATTGGTTTGGCAGTTACTTCCGTTCCGGCATTATGAACCTTTTTTCCCCCATTAATCTTTGGACAGAGTGTTGTGCAAGTTTGACATGTTAGTGATATAGCTTAGTTTGTCAGTGCATTCCTGAAGGCATTTTACTAGGTGTAACTCTGACAATCTCGGTTTTCTAGAAATGGTTTTATTTATGTTATTGCTAGATTTTGGTACATATTCCTTCTTACTAAATTAGAAAATTATTTCAGGCAGGTTCGAGTGATTTAATGCAGCAGGCACAAGTATTTGTGTATGCAAATGGGAATAATAATCCTCCAACTGCCATTAATCTGGACAAGTCAATATTGAGAGATTTGTTGTTCAATCAAAGTCCTGGCAAGGTACGTTTGCACTTGTAACATATTAAATTGCTGGCTAGACCTCACCATAGAATTCTAGATCTATCTATGAGATTGAGTATGGAGTTCTTGTTAGAATCACTTAGTTTCTTTCTAAATTTGGATTTGAGCTTCTTATTAGCTTTGGCTTGGTTTATTAGACTTTCTGAACATATTCTCATCTAAGAATGCAAAGTTCGCACATCACAATGAAAGAAATTGCCTAGAAGTTTCTAGTATCAAATTCTATTATCATCTTTAGATGCTTGCCATTACCATCTTGTTGGGTCTTAAATTGGCACTTCATAGTTATGATATCTCTATGTGAACCTTGTTGGATCTAATGTAGATCAAACATCATGTGCACTTGGTTACATAGGTATTAAAAAATGATGCTTCCTGCTGAAACTAATAAAGGTGGATTTCAAGCACTCGCACTAGATTCTGCTCTAATTACAATGCCCACTTTGGCCATTTTGTTTTGGCAATCAAGCGTTGTAGGACACCCCATTGATGAAAAAAAAATGTTCACTATGCTTTTTTCTGGGCCATGGCTAGCACTTTTGTGGTGAGCATACTGCTCTTTGGAGATCTAAGAAAGTCTCATTGGAGAGATTGTGGGGCTTAGATTAAGATTTGAATTTGGAGAAACACTGGTTTGCTTCTCTTCAAACTTTTACACTGAATCTGCATGTGCGTATGTTGAATCACTTTTCTTTTGCTCACTGCTGCTGTTTCTGTTTTGTGCCTTCTCGTTCAGGATGTAGCATTGGCATCTGTTTCAATTAGACCAATTCCCTTTGCACCGGTTTTGGAGAAGCTTAGTCTTTCTGACTTGAAGTATGGAACTGTGAGGAGGTTTTATATAGAGACTCCTGAAGATAATGCCATACCTATCACATTACAGGAAAGCATGATAAACTCAAGTCCCCCAGAAAAAGTATTTCGTTTAAAAGGTGCTGATCACTCGCCTTTTTTTTCAAAGCCACAGGCCCTGCACAAGTTATTGGTAGAGATATCGAAGATATGATCCCATCAACTTGAAAGTTTTTGGTTATTATTTAACACCCTCTCTCAAAATCCTCTTACATAGAGCTTCATGGAGTAGTACAGGATTGCTACTCTCATCGGTCTTCTCTGCCACTGATTAGAAGAAAGGATTCTGGGTGGTTATGTACATGCAAATAGCATTAGATATTGTCATCTATTCGCACAAAATTTCTAGCATCTTCTGCCACTTATCTTTTCCTTTTCTTTTTCTTTTTTTATATGGGGGAGGGGTGTTACAGAAATGATGTACTTCGCTCTCGTCCGTCATTAGACTTGCTAAATTGCTTATGTTAACACCTTCAGACAAGTAGCTTGGGTTTGTTCATAATCTCAGTAGACGGGTAGCTTGAGTTAAAGCTTGTTTGGAAAAGGAGAATACAAGAGAATTGGGTGAAAAATCCAAGATAGAACGGTGAGTGATGGCAGCATACGTATTAATGGAAAAGAGCAATTTATTATAATGGGATCAAAATTTAACAGGTCTGCTGATGTCAATTTGAGGGCCTGAAGTATTGTTTTTAAAAGAACAGGGTGCAAATGATGTGGGGATAATAGAGGGTAATAATTCTGATTCACTTGTCTATTACAGGGACAAAATTCTGTTCTTACATCGCTTTCATATTCGGCTACGAAACTATAGTTTATACGTATAGTCTTTCTCTCTCCTCCTACCATTAATATCAATAAAAAGCAAACTTGTGGCCCAGATTCTTTTTTTCTTTTTTCAAGCCGTGGAGATGGATTGTTCAGTCTAGGGGTTGTGACACAAAGCGTTTAGCGCCAAAGTTTCTCCAGCTTGCTTGTTACTCGAGTATACCTTTTTTTCACTGTTCCATGATGTCAATGAACAAGCAATGAAGGCATTTTCTTTGTTTCGTAATAGCATTGAAAGTTTTTCAACTCGATAATGAGCTTTCAAGTGGGGGAGGGTTGTCTTCCCCAAAACTCCTAGGTGTTTTGAAGCTACTGCAAGTCTACCTTCCTAGGCTAACTTCTGAGGTTTCTTTCTACGAACATGGTGCATCAGCACATCTGCTAGACAGTCCATGTCGGTGCTGTTTACTTGGAAAGGGCTCGATCTTGAGTCTAAACTGGAAACCAAATACAGCTCTCATCTGTTGGATAGTGTTAGCTTCTGGTAGAAATCTATACTGGTATAAGACATTGAAGTTCTGAGTGATACCCTCTTCTTGTCTTGTAGTTCTTTCCTTCTGCGTCGACTTTGATCAAGATGAAGGGCAATTCTGCTGGAATCCATTCTGGTCAGATGTAGGGTAATTCAAGAACAAAATTCATACATAAATCCGCCTAAATAACCTTAAGAACTTGTAAGAGAACATATGAATACTTGTATGTTCCCTGGTAGTTTGGCAAAAACAATAGTTGTAAATAAATTCACTAGCATAAGTCTTCATTTGTAGCCAATAGGATCTCTCACAACTGTATTAATGGTATTTTCTGATTTCCAAAGTCCAGCAAGACCACCGCATATAATCCCTAATCACTTTCTTTCGCAGTGATGAGCGAAGAACATGCAAAGTTGATTACCATGCAAGAGGAAGCCATCATCATGGATTTGGTAATCTTTTGCCGGCTACGTACTCTCATCATCTTCATTCTGCTCGTAAATATTTCTCAAACAATCAAACCAGTTAATTCAATGCATAAAGCAACAGATGAGACTACTCTTCGGGTCAATACATGTACAGCCCTTTTTTGATTTCTAGTATTATGAACCTGCTTAAAACAGAAACTCATTTCATTATATAAAAACATATTGGGTCCTTATCAAAACAAGAAATCAAATCTGCATGGAGTCGGTTTCACTATTTATATAAATAGTGAATTAGGTTAATATATTATTTTAAATATTATTTTTAAAAAAAGTAGTGTCTTAGCTGAGTTATTTGAAGCAGTAAGGGCAAACAAAAGGTCACGTGTTAACATACATGTCGATTGTGTTTATTTTTTTTTTTTAAAAAAAAACAAAAGTCATTCGCCCCTAAAAAAAATTAATTAATTAATTATTTTTAATTTTATTTTTTAATATTTAATTAATAATATATTAATTTTTATATTTTTTAATATATAATAAAATAAAATAATTAATTTATCTTAAAGAAATCCACAATTAAGATTATGAGTTTAGCAGGTTGATTAAATATTAATTAAAATAAAAAAAAATTACCTCTTTTCTAAAGTTGTTTTAAATTTTATTATTTAATGTGGTGTTTTATCTCATAATAAAATAAAAAATAAAATTAACTTAATGAAATTCATAACTTAGGTTATTAATTTAATAAATTAACTAAATATTAATTAAAATGTAGATTTAGAGTGTTTTTGCTCATTTTTATAATTTAATTATATGTAGTATGAAGTTTTTATTGAATTTTATTATTTATCATTCAGTAAGTTAATTTTTGTATATTTTATTTAATAATAAATAAAAAATTAATTTGACCCTCTAGAATTCATATAAATAAATTACAAATTTAACATGGTTAATTAAAGAATCGGATCATAATGTTTTTAAATTTGATTTATTATAATAAATTTAATAACAATGCCAAAAAAAAAAATCTAATGATCTAGAAGTCATATTTTTTACGTTTTAAAAAATTTAATTACAATCCCGCAACAAAAACACGTGCGATAAACCTGTTTCTTCTAAAAGTCTTAGCAATTAAATGGGGAAACTTTGTTATTTTCTCTATAATATAACGACTTTATAAAGAAAATAAATAATGCAGAAAGTTAGAATCATCAAACGTGAACAAACAACCTGGACGTGATCTACACTTATTAAATCACTTAAAAGATAATCTCTGGCGACTTTGCTAATACAAGGGCATTATAGACATTCAAATCAAGTTTTCGGGTCGGGTTTACAAGCCCCGGTAAAAAATATCAAGGTAAAAAACTATAGCTTATTAAAGCTGTGACGTGTATTTATTCTTTTAAACTAACTAACTTTTTAGAATATATCTATCATTCATCAATTTAACAAAAATACTGAAATTAAAGATAAAATCACTGAAATTTTTTTTATATTTATATTTTTTTATTCACCACTACAATGTAATGATTATTTTATCTATCTCAACAAAAAATACTTACTTTTTAACTAGGGTTATATTGGTATTTTAATATGACACATTAGTTATTATTGATTTTTTTAAGAATATTTTTATATATTTGATGTTTTAAAAAATAATAAAATAACCAAAATGTTCTAAAAAAAAAGTAATCTCAAGTAAGGATAATTAGGTATTTTTGTTTTTTTTTATATAGCAAACTTACATATATATCATGGGATCCAAGATATTTAATTTTTTAAGATAAGAGGTATTATGATTTTTTTAGCTTTGATTTTTTTTGTTAATTGTTAGTTTAATAGAGATAGTAACATAATTTAATTTTACAATAATATTTTTTAATTTAAAAAACTACTAATAGTGCATGCAGTAATTAACTTTTGATGGTAAAAAAATGAGTTTTTCTCATTTCATTTTATTTCTTGTTATTTTCTCTATCTTTCAAATATGGTCAATTTATAGCCAATAACTTTTTTTTTCAATGATAATAATGATTTCAATTTGATTCTTCTGTTTTTAATTTTTCTTTATTTTTTGTTAAAAATTTTATGATTTATAATTTTATTTTTTAAATTAAGATGATGGTTTTTTTTTTAAATAATACTAATAATAATAGTAAAAGGAAGAAGATGGAGATGATAATTCAAGTATATAATTCACTTAATTAGTTTTTATTACCATATGTAAAAAATTGCAACTTAAAATACTAAATAATGAGTATTTAAATTATTTTTCTCAAAAGTTAGATTTTAATTCGTTGAATAAATGAATGAAATAAAAACATATTTATTAAAAATATGATAATTCAAGTATATAATTGACTAATCTGACAATAAAAACCAGCATGAGTCGCAACATTTATATTTATATCGTTAAAGTTTAAACTCATATTTTTATGTGTTTTATATTATGAACTCGAGTAATGTTAAACATTAAAAAAATGATAAAAAAAAACTCTAACAAAAAATTGAAGGAATCTGAACATAATCTTAAAATAAGATCTATTTATAAATTTTAATAATCCAATAATTTGTATGTATTCTTGAAAAAAAAAAACACTCTGGTGTTTTTTTACTTTTTAACATTAATATATCAACTAAATTGAGATTCAATTAAACTTTGATAATAAATATAAAATCAACAATTTAAATTATAATATTAACAGCTAAGTTTGAAATTATGGTAATAGTGATAATTCAAAGTATTTTTTATTTAAAAAATATATTAAAATAAAAAAATAATTTTTAATATTAATATATTAAAATAATTTAAAAATATAAAAAATTTATTCTAAATAAAAAAAATTAAAAGTTTTTAAGTACACCCAAACCACATTTCCGAGCACCCTTATTTACTAAGTGGCTGTACGTACCCCCATCATTTTTAATGAATGACGATGTGTCTACCACGTGGCATGAAAATATAGTACCCATATTGTGAATCTAGTGTAATGCGTGCCCACATCATAGGACTCTAATCATTTATTACTTGACTGTTGCTTAATAAAAGAATCCCTCGTGAGTCCCGTGGGCCATTAATAGCTAGCGGTAAAATCTATTTTTTTAATGTATATTTTTATTTAAAAATATATTAAAATATTTATTTATTTATGTTTAACATGAATATATTAAAATAAAAAAAAAACTGAAAATAATATTAATTTAAAATAAAAAATACTTTAAAAACATAATTAAACCATTATGGAATATTCTTTGATTTAGAGGGTATTTAAAAATATAGTATATTTATTTTTTAAAGTGTTTTTTTATAAAAAAAATATATTGTATTTAAAAATATAGTATATTTATTTTTCAAAGTGTTTTTTTATAAAAAAAATATATTAAAATAATATTTTTATTTTTTAAAATAATTTTTTACATTATCATTAACTTAAAATTATCTAAAAACATCAAAATATATTAAATTTAAAATTAAAAAAATTAAAAAAATTAAAAATGCTTATAAAATATAAAATCAAACAATTTCTTATCCAATCATAAAATCAAACAGTTAAACATAATTAAACATAATGGATGCTAAAAAACTATTTCAATTCCAATTAAGTTTCCAATCTTTGAATTTTATCAATTTTATTCAATAAACAATGATAAATTGTCAATAATAATTAAGAAATTCAATTAAAATTTGTTTTGTATATGTTGTGCACTTGCTTGTTATATTTTAATAATTCCTTCTAAAAACACATTAAAATAGAGCTTTATGACTCTAAATTATAATTTTTTAAGAATTATATAAATTATATTTTATTATCTCACATAACAACTTAAATTTTTTTAATTAAAATAATTTTTTAATATTATATCAGAATTTTATTGAATAATTAGTTATGAGTTCAAATCTTACCATTTTTATTCCATTCTATAAAAAAAATATAATATAATATAATATGATATGTTTTTATTCCATTCTATAAAAAAAATATAAATATAATATAATATGAGTTTATAGAAGTTTTAAGTTTTCATTAGATGTAAAGTATTGAAAAACTATATAAATTATATTTTAAAACAGTACATAATTATTTAAATTTTTTAATTAAAATGGTTTGTTGATATTTTTTTTAAATGAATTTTGTTATATGTATTTTAACACTAAAAAAACATATTAAATTCATTTTGGAGTGAATTAACGAGGACGTATAAATCACAGAAAAATATGTTATTTGTCACCAATAAATAGAAAATGAATGAAGAGGTAAAATTGGCTAATAATGTAAATTGTGTTTATGATAATTTACCATTTTTGGCGTCCATAACTGATTTGATTACACATGTTACCTGGACACCCGCGTTTGGAAAGCGTTATCAAAATTCTGTTTACGGCATTGGCTTGTGATGATAACCTGCTGACAACAACAACCGACAAAGTCAACATTCTCCCCGTATATTGTTTTAACGTTTTAAACTATGATTTACTGTTATCCCATATTATTTTTACGTCCAAAATGTAAGGAAATAAAAGCAAAAAATTGCTGTTTTTCACGTACTGCATGCTAAATACGCTGTTTATTAAAGAGAGTAATTAGCAAACAATGTAATTAGTATGAATAATATAGTATGCTGTAATGTTTTGGTTGAATTAGTTTCTAGGTGGATTGAGTCTAGTTTAAAGATTAATATGTATTGAATTGGTTTAATTTAGAAAAATAAAAAATAAAAAATATTTTTAATTTTCTAAATGTATTTTATTCAAAAAACTAGTGTTTAATATTATTCAATGATACTATATAAATTAGATAGGGATCGCTTAATAATGTAGTATTTACAGAATTTGATCATAATTTTAATTTTATTCCTAATTATATTATACTTGATATTGTCGCACGTTTAAGAAATCAAAAACAATATAGTCTTTGTCTAATATATTTCATACGTGATGAAATTGTAAATAATTTAATGGAATAATAAAAAATATTTTATGTAAAGTATTATTTATTTAATGATATAACAACAATAATTAAATCTACAATAATTAAATTAAAAACCATCAATATTAATATATATATTTTTAAAATTATTTCATAATCTCAATTTCAAAAGCATTATTAACCAAACATATTAAATTATTTTTTTGTTCAACCTCAATTTCAACCACAATTTTAACTAAATATACATAAATATCAAATCAACCTCAACCAAAAATATTTTTTATAAAACAACTTTTTTCAAACTATAACCACAACAACTATTGTAATACCAATAAATATTTTTTTTTATATTTTAAAAAAAAAATTTAAAATTCATATTTTTTTAAATATTTTTAGATTATTTTAATATATTGATATAAAAAATATTATTTTAAAGAATTTGTGAATAAAAAGTACTTTGAAAAACAAACTATTTATGATTTTTTATTATAATGTTAAATATTATATTAGTAGTTGTTTTTTAAAATATATTAAAATAATATTTTTTATATATATTAATACATTAAAACAATTTAAAACAATAAAAAATTATTTAGTAAAATTTATTTTTTAAAAATTAGTTTTCACCAAAAAAAAAACAAGCTGTATAATTTATTCTTATACATTTATATTGAATTTATTTATCAATATTATCTCCTATGATGTTTCAGTACACCAAATATTTTTGAATAACAACTATTCATCAATTAAAGATTGAAAATATTATTAGAAAAAAAATTATTAAATTTCTGTGTCATGATTTAACTATAAATCCTTAATTATAAAGAAAATTAAATATTAAAGAAAGAGTTATTATTCAATAAAACATTTATTATATTGATGAAAAAATCCAATAAAATATTTTTCTATTAACAGATGGATGAGCTATATTAAGAGATCTATTATTTTATTATTGTTATGTTATTTTAATTCATAATCCAACCAAATTTCCGCCCCTCTCTCTCTCTCTCTCTCTCTCTCATCTTGTATTTAACCACCTTGTTGGCTTTTGCTAGTTTCCCATCCCTTTTTTTCCCTCTTGCTTTGCTTCAGGTTTTGTCCTTGAAAAGGAAAAGGTATGCAATTCCATTAGAGCAGTGTTCGTTAACTTTACGTTCAGATCCATTTCTTGCATACAGCACATTGTTACTCTTTGGTGTGTTTGCCATTTTCGTTATTTGTAAAACTAATTTATTTCCTTTTTTTGTCTTTTTTTCTTAACATTTTTTAGCGTTCTTGTTTCATTTCCTTGCCATAATCTGTGTTTTGTATGTTTTGAACATGCAACATGTTGGATCTGATCATGTTTTTCTTGTAGGCCGTAAAATTATATGTAGGAGTTAAAAGGAGAGGATTTAACATTGTGCAAAAATGCAACACCCGCTGATATATTTTTATTGTCTTATTTGCAAATGTGTGTATCTCAAAGCTGATTAGGAGATCTTCAAACTGTGGAATTCATTTGAACATCTTGTGCTTTTTTATGGAGTTTCATAGGATTGAAACGGGGCATTGTGGTTGTTGTCAAATGTTAGTTGTATTTTGGATGTTTTATTATCCAATGCAAAAACTGAAATGGGATTTGATGGATTTTCACTGCTGAAATTAGCTAAAGAAAAGTTGGAGCTTGTAATTAAAATAGCTTCGTATGACCAATTTCTAGAAACAAATGTGTAATTGTGCGCCTTGTAATTGCTGCTCTATTTCCAGTTTTAAGGAAAGACCTCCCCAGAGGTGTTTGCAATCTGTGGGAAGACTAGGAGTTTTTCACTTGTATGGCATAAACTATATTCTTGTCATTAACTTTGAAAAGGTTCATGTGCATGTAACTTTTGTGTTCTTGATGATATATATTTGTCACCTGAAGAGAAACCAAGGAAGAAAATAGTCTTGGACCTTTAGTTATGTTGCTTTGTGTTTACCACAGACACTGCTGCCAAAGCACCATCTTAGATAAATTTCCTTTATGGGCATCATATGGCCAGGTGCTCAATCAATTAGATTAACGCTCATGTCACCATGTTCTTAGGTTCAAAAAATCTACTCTAGCTATGTTGGTGACTAATTTACTCTATGTGAACTCAGTGTTTGCGGTACTTTTTGAAGTTTTAGATCTCATCATTGATCTTATGTACAGGTTCCAGCTTCTGTATTAGAAAGGAAAATAATAGGAAGAAATGGGTCGTGGAGTCAGTGCTGGTGGTGGACAGAGTTCTTTGGGCTACCTATTTGGTAATGGGGAGCCTGCTAACAACTCTCCTGTTGCTAAGAATGTGGGAAACTCAGCGAGCATTAGCCCTTCTCCGAAGCCTGCTTCTGCTTCCCCGCCAATTGATAAGCAGACTCCAGCTGGAATTCATGGAAATCTTACGAACAATTACTACCGGGCAGATGGACAGAACTGTGGCAACTTTATCACGGTAATGTCCTCAGTAAGTTCATGGTCTAAAGGCTGCTTAGTGAGTTTAATCACATCATGTGATTTCTTCTATTTTGATGACTGAAACTAAAATGCAAAAAAAAAAAAAACAGCAAGGCTTGTCTCTATATATATGGCATGTCAACACCTTGAGGGTGTTCCATTCCACTCATGAGATGGAACCTAGGCTTTCCGGGGACTCATCAGGCTTATTTTTCCTTGTCAAAGGAAACAAATTTACATGTTCCCGAAATACTTTTCCTTGATAGAACTTTGAGGGTGTTTCTGCTAATATGCTTTATAGTTTTTCATCAGTAGATTATAGATGAGAGATGGCTGAGTTGATTGGCCACGTAATTCTATTTCTGAATTTTCCATGCTGCATCATGTAATCTTATTATTGAGGTAATGATTTCTGAATGGCTTTGCTATATATGTGCAGGATCGACCATCCACCAAGGTTCATGCTGCCCCTGGTGGTGGATCTTCCTTGGGCTACCTGTTTGGCGGTGGTGGGAACTGACTTGCTCTATCCGCTGTCTATTGTTCAGCACATATAATTGTCGTTTAGGATGCTTAATATCTCTTTCCAGAAACTATGGGCTTAATCATTGTGCAACGTAATGTGTTGCCATGATGTTAGTAATTGTGATGGAACACACTAAGCTATGGATGTATAATCAAACGCAAGAAGGTATTGCGTTCTTCATTCTGTAATTTATGCATGAATGGTACCTCCAGTTATTTGCTTCTGTAAGGAAACTCTTCTGTGTTCTAAGCCCCTGTTCAAATTGAAGAAGCATAAGCTGTGAAAAGATTTAGAATCTAGGAACGACTTAATAATCCATGCTCATGAAGAACTGTTCCCTGATTCTGCAATAGGATGTAACTCTCATCTGGTTCTAATTAAACATCAGTTCGTTAATGGTTTATCAAGTAATTACACAATTTCAATGTCTCTATTGTCTCTGCCCGGCAACATTGCTAATATGTTCTTAGTAAACTTCTTAGACCAATATTCTAACAAGCCTAATGAACTCGTACTGTTAAAGATATCTAGAAATAAATTGAATAATTAATTAATATATTAATTCAAATAATTTGATTTATTTTTTATAATCAAGTTATTTGATGATTGATATGAAAAATATAAAACATTAATATGTGATAGCAAGTGATCTCTAGTAAGAGAGGTGACTAGTAACTATGGTAGTAATAGGTGATGGCTAATAAACTAAATAATTGTTAGGTCTTTTTTTATGAGGGTGAGAATTCTCTAGTAGTAAAATTAAGAATTTTATATAGAAAAAATACAATGATATTTTAGAGAGAAATTCTAAAAATATATATGCTAAAAATAATAAGAATAAAAAGATTGTAAACTTTTAACTTAAAGGATTTATTATGTATTTACAAACCTATGAATCTTTTCTTTTTATAAAAAAAAGATTAAAATATAATTTTATTTTTATGATATTTTAAGTTGTATTTTATCTAAAATAATAAATATTAGATTATTATAAAATATTGAGAGATTTGTATAAAGTGTGAGAAAAATTTTGTGGCAAGTATTGGGCTGGGGCACCTTTAAAAATGAAAGTAAATTTGAGTACATTGATTGAGCTCAAACATATTAGGCTCAAGTATAATAACTCACGAGGATGCATTGGGTATTCTTTAAGTGCAATGCATGCATACACTAGACGGATACTCAGTACACTTGCTTGGCCTATATTTCTGGTGCGTAGGCTCAGGCTCTATCCTTGAGCCCATGTTTTTTGAAAGCTAGGTTTAGGCTACCACTTTCAAGCTCATATTTATTAAGAATACCTAAAAAAAAAAAAATTGAGTTTATTATAAAATTTTAATTTCTTTATTTTTTAATTTTTTAGAAATAATTTTTATTATTTTGATTATTATTTATTTTATTTGAGATCATTTATAAAATTATATTTTTTTCAATTTTATTCTCATTTAATTTTTTGATTTGTAAGACCTGTTTCTTATTATTTTAATAAACTTAAAAAAATAAAATATTAATAAATTATTTTTTAATTTATTTTTTAAAATCTAACAAAATACTGAAAAATATTTTTCAATTTATTTTTTATTATAATACCAAATATTAAAAAATAATTTATTTTTTAGAATTCATTAAAAAAAAACTATTTTTTTACAATCAAACGGAGCTTTACACTTAAATTAAGCTGATATCATATGCTACTTGTGACGGAACCCATTTTTATCCAAAGAATCATATAAATTACCTTAATTTCTTGTTTTAATTATACTTAAACTTATGTTTCCAATTAAAAAACCTTATTGTACCTGGTGAAAACTCGTGGATATAAATTACCTTAATTTCTTGCTTTAATTATAATTCATAATTCTTTAATCTTTTATATTATTGGAAATGCATTTTTCTCTAAGAAAATACTTTTTTTTAAAAGAAAAAAATTAGAAAAACTCGACGATATAAAACTCTCAAGTTTGAACCTAATTATTACTTAATCTTCCTTAGTTGAAACCCATATCGCAGTCTCTTAACTCTTATTGTCTGACGTGTTAATAACTAATTAAACAATTTAACTAATTAAATAATCTTTTTTTATATGATTGTATAATTTAGAAAGGCTGGTCTGAGAGGGTAAGATTGTTTTTAAAAGTTTTTATTTTATTTTCAAATGCTTTAAAAATAATTTTTTTAATTTATATTTTACATTAACCTATTAAAATAATTTAAAAATATAATTTAAAAATAATTAATTACATTAACCTATTAAAATAATTTAAAAATAATTAATCTTTTTTCAAAAACATGATTTAACCGCATTGCTAAAATATAAAAAGATAAAATAAACAAAATAAAAAGGAAATTACATATACACCACTGCCCCCATCCACACAGGATCATTTTTTTTTTTGAAATTAGGGTTTTTCACTCTCTCTCTCGGCGACCAAAAAAGACGTTGCAGAAGAACAGAGGTTAATCCGCAGAACCACAATGACAACCGTCGTCCCCACCTCCGAAGAGGATCCAGCCCTCTCCGTCGTCCGTTTCACCTCCGAACTCTCCTGGTCCGACGCCGGTCCCGAGGTATCATTTTTTTTCTTTTATTAAACGTCTTCTTAATCTATAAATCTTATTTTGTAAAATATAATCTTTTATTTAAATTCTCTCACTGTATAATCCTTTTTGAATTCGTTTTTTTATTTTTTTGAATTCCTAATGGAAAATATTCTTTTGGCTGATTTATTTAAAATTGTTGAATATGTATATTTAATTGCGTTTCGCGGTCGGATTGGTTGGTATGGTAGGTTATGGAGCAACAAGTGAGTAGGCTGTGTGTGGAAGCGCAGGAATGTATGGTGATGGATAGGTGGTTGGATTTGACGTCTTTAATGTTAACTTCTGCTGACATTGTTTTCTCAAATTCCAAGGTCTCTGAGAAAGGTACTCTTTTTCCACATCGAAAATTAAGTTTTTGTTGATAAAAAAGGTGTTAGTTAACGCAAAATGTTTAGTGAATGTGTAATATATGAATTAGATGCAACGAGATTGCAGTTTTTATTACTTTCAGCATGCTGTTCATGTTATGGTAGGGGAGCAGAGGAGGGTTTTCATTAGATTTTTTTTTTATCTCGGCATCTAAAGGAGGTCATTAGGGATGTTTATTTGATCATCGAAAGTGCTTATGCTAACAAAATACGAGCTGGGTGTTTTATTTAGACAGCAATAATGAAATGGGTAGAGATATTGTAACCTGCATTTTTATTCTTAGAGATACGTATCATAGTTCTAACATAAGCTAGTGTGTCAATTTTTGTCTTCTTCCCTAGATCTTGAGTGTATCTTCACTGTCATTTGCAATCTCGTCACCAAGTCTAGAAGTCCAGATGAAGAACTTGAGATGGCAAAACTTATATGCTCAAAAATTATTCAACAACCAAGTGACAAGCCTGCATTGCGCCTAAAGATGTAATATGACATGATGATATTCATTACAGTTTATATTTTATTTTGAAGTCACTATCTTATACCTGCCTCTTTTACCAGCTTGTTCAATCTGTACAACCTACTGGATAATGCATACTGCCGGTTCTATGTTTTCATGAAGGCCCTAAATTTGGCCGTGAGTGGAAAAGTCACTGAACATGTCATTCCTTCTTTCAAAAAGATTGATAACTTCTTGAAAGAATGGAATCTTGAAGTCCAAGATCAGAGAGAGCTTTTTCTCAGTGTTGCTAATGCACTAAAAGATAGTAAGAGGTATAACAGGAAGAGATTTAACAAATGAAAGTGAACTTACCTTTTCATCTATTCAAGTTCCAACGTGCATTTTTCTTCTTTAGTTGTATTCAGAAAATGTGTTACTTTTCTATTGTTCTTCCAGCTCTGCAAAGGATTCTTTCAAATTCTTGACCAAGTATTTAGCAACTTTCTCCGACGAGGACACATATAAAATGGGTGAAGCCAAGGAGGAAGCTGCGCGTACAATTATTGAATTTGTCAAGGCACCTGACATGTTTCAGGTATTACTGAATTTTGATGATCTATTTGGGAGCTATCTTAAAGCATGAAAAGGAATCTCATAGGCTGTCCTGATAATCTCAATCTGAAGATAATACATTAATTACAGCCATAAAAGGCAAATCATCCTAGTCTTTTTTGGGAGCTTACATAACAGTTTAATCCTTTTTTAACCATGTCTGGACACTGGCTATTTTGGCTATTGTAATTTCTGTTATGTTCTTAAAATGGTTAAACTTGTTCTGAAATGATAGAAATTATCTTCAATTATGTTAATGCAATTGTAATGTAAAGGGATTGTGGAATTCTTGACTCGGAATTCGAAATAGAATAAAAATGCTGGTTGTACTTCAGATTTCTATATCTAGGCATTTTTTTTTGTCTTTACTACCCCTGCGGTCAGCTTACGTTATGAATGATTTTATTGCTTCTACACCATGTACTTCTGATATATCAAGCTATGAGTGTTGTTTGTTTCCCCTAGTAATGGCTAGTTGTTTTTGCATCAATTCATTTTTTTCAGTTTGTGTAAGATTCTTTTTTCCTGGCTTTTATCTAGTTTGGTGTTGAGATATTAATTTGTTCAATTATATGCTGCAGTGTGATCTTCTAGATATGTCTGCTGTAAGGCAATTGGAAAAGGATGCTAAATATGCATTGGTATATCAGCTACTAAAGATCTTCCTGACTGAAAGACTGGATGCTTATTTGGAGTTTCAAGCTGCGAATTCTGCTCTACTGAAAAGCTATGGTATTACTATTGGACTTGTTAATCCAAGTCACTGGCTGTTAGATGAACTGATATTTCTTCAAAGTTTCATGTGTCTAACATTAAGAGTATCTTGTTTATTCATGTTTGTTCTTTGTTATAGGTCTTGTTCATGAAGATTGTATAGCGAAGATGCGGTTGATGTCTTTGGTGGATCTTGCATCACATGAATCTGGTCGAATTCCATATGCCCTCATCAAAGATACTCTTCGGGTAAATTGGCTCACCATTCTGCTTTTACTAGGCTTGTCATTGTCTTTATTTTAATCAGATTGTTTGGAGCGTCCTTGCAGATTGATAATGATGAGGTGGAATTATGGGTAGTCAAGGCATTAACTACCAAGTTAATTGACTGTAAAATGGACCAGTTGAATGAAGTTGTGCTTGTGAGGTACTCTCTCTGTCTCCCCACCCCCCCAACACACACACACACACAGAGGAACATGTCTTTGTGCCCTTTTCATTATACAAGGACTCCAGTGCTTAGAATTTCACAATGGCTTCCAAAAGTGAGTTACTTTAGAATCTAATATGGATGTGATGTGCAGTTCTTGTACTGAGCATGTATTTGGGATGCGACAGTGGCAGGCACTAAGGACAAAGCTTGGTACATGGAGGGTGAGAATTCCTAGAATCAATCTTGTTTAGTTTTTGCATTTACCATCTGGAATATGCGTTCTGTATTGTTTCTGAGGATCAAAATTTTACATTGAAATGTTTTCAAAGGAAGAGCTGCTGTACTGTTTCCCAGCAAAATAGAAAGTCCAATGCTGGCTGGTCCTAGGAAAGCGAAGGAAATTTTATTAAAGTCAAACATTTCCCTTCCTTTTTTGCTAGTTTCATTGTGACTGGACTTTAACATTGAAGTTGCATGTTTTCCAGGGTAATATTGAGAGTGTCATCAACACCATCCAAGCTAGCAAGATCACTGAAGATGGTTCACAGGCAGTGCAGGGAATGATGATTCGTTAGGGGTCATTTAGTTAAAAGGTCAATCTCTAACTGGAGATGGATCTGAATCTGTTGTGGGCTGGAATACTCTACTTTTGTTTGCCATTTACTTCAGTTGAAAATTGATAGTGTATTTGGAATTTTGAGAGATGAGCACTTTAGTTGTTTTAACATTTACCTTGCCAGGTAGTTTATGGATGGACTGGATGTATCATGTACAAATTCAATGTCTACTTTCCTTCTTGTGACAACTTTTGTTTCACTATCATGAATGCTTGAGCAATGCATGTCTTCAAGAATGGCAAGTGTGTGTTAAAAAAAAGCGAATCGCATGACTGGGTCAAATTTCTTTTTATGTTTGGATTCTACAGCTGAAGGCTCCAGCCGTGATTTAGAAATCATAACTCCTCGCCTTTTAACAAGCTGCTGATGTGAGTTATATTGATAAAGTTGCCAGGATTTATTTTCTTCCATAAAAACATTGCACAATAAAAGGGGCATGGAATTAACAAGAAAACTCCATGGATAGGAAAATGTAGGACAAAACGGCAAGCTTCCAGATGTGCGACATTGGTTCAAAGCATTCTGTTGCCTACCAAAAACTAGAGTGCGGTGCTGGGTCCTTGTAGTTGCCTCCTGACCAGCGCAGTGTAAATACCATCCATGTTGAGAAGTTCTTCATGGGTGCCGCTTTCTGCTATCTGACCGTCAGAAATGACAGCTACGGTATCTGCACTTTTGACAGTTGAAAGCCTGTGTGCAATGACAAGGACGGTCCTGCCCTGCATCAGAGAATCCATGGCATCCTATCCAACACAAAAGAATTTATTGTTGGTTAACCAGGTGCAAAAAGATACAGAATTGTCATTGAATGGGCATCAAATTCAAAATTCCTGCCCATTTTTATTTGCTGTTGTATTAATATTTTGTTTGAGAAAGTTTCAGATCTGTACTATGTTTGGAAATGCCAATCTCACCTGAACAAGGTATTCACTTTCAGCATCCAGAGCACTAGTGGCTTCATCCAGTAACAGAACTCTTGGATTCATCAATAGCGCTCTGGCAATCGCTACTCTTTGCTTCTGGCCTCCCGACAACCTCAACCCACGTTCGCCTACTACTGTTTGATACTTTTCAGGGAATGCATCTATGAAGTCATGGGCATTGGCCATTTTCTGCAGTGTCATCACTTCATAAGAAATGTATGTATGCTGCAAACAAAAACTTCTATAGATGGCTTTTGGATAAAAATGAAAGGATGACTATACACATACAGCTACATTTTCTATATCAGCAACACTAGCTTTTCCATTGTATCCATAGGCAATATTCTCTTCAATAGAACAGTTGAAGAGAACTGGCTCCTGGCTCACTATGCTGACCTTCATCACACAAAAAAAATAAAAAGCTTGGTTATTAAGAAATCTGAGGATATTCAACTCAATCAAATTTTTGACCAGGAAACCTATGATCAAGTCTGTATGACTGTACTGTGTGAGTGTCTGTGAGAGAGAGTAAAGCACTTCATTACAATGATTGGGATGCTAGTAGATCAAATCGTGATTCAGTTCATAATAACGATGCTAGTAGATCAAAGAGTAAATGCCAATGGCCACAATTGTGAGCTGAGATGCTGATTAAAATCTTATTTTACCAGAATACATGAAGATCAAAGAGGAAATGGTGATGATGCAAGAAAAGCTTTTGTTAGGGAGATAAAATCAACTATCCAGCACCTCATAAAAGATTTGTACAGGTTCAACAACATAACCATGTCCATTGTCAAATCTTTTATGCTTGCGTGACCTGTTATGATAGTCTATGAACAGAAATGACCATGACATATAAAGAGAATACCTTTCTGTGAAGATACTCGTGTGATATTTCAACTAATGGAACCCCATTTAACAAAATCTGTCCCTTGAGAGGATCATAGAACCTTTCAATTAAGTTTGCTATTGTGGTCTGCAAAAGAAAACAAAGAAAATAAACAAATAAATAGAAGACAGAAAGACCATAGCATGTAATGAGAGTTGGTTTCCATTGACGTGCTCATTCTTAAGGCAAGATGATGCCAAGAGCTATATGCCTGCCATGAAAGAAAAAAGTGGGGAAATAAACTTTAAAAAATTGAGGAATGATATTAATGTTACCTTGCCTCCACCACTTGGACCAACAAGGGCAACTTTTGAGCCTGGACTCAGCTTCAATGTTATACCCTGCAGTTTGAAGAACATGAGGTCATTTAAGTTCAAAAATGAAAAAAGTGCTTCAGCTTTGTGGTGCTTTTGAGATACTACGGTCAAAGTGGTTGTCATTTGTCAGTCAGTCAGACCACCTACGTGTAAATCTATTTAGTTCTTCAGCTTTCTTGGCGAGGTAATGAAACAGAGCCAAACTGAAGTCTTATGCCCTGCATTTCATTTTATATTACTCTTGGTCTTTCATGTTCTACCAGGGAACTAGCAGAGCCTAAAGTCTTAGTCTGCATGGCCAGTCCAGGAGGAGGGGGGTCAATGCAGTTGATTCTAGCAAAGCGAGGATGAAAAATAAAAGAAATTTTGAGCAAGATAAGTTCATTTTTGTCTAGAAAATTATCATAGTTAAATACCTCTAACTGTGATTAAGAAAAGCATTTACCTTAAGTACCATGTGACTTGGACGAGAAGGATAAGCAAACCAGACATCATTTAATTCTACATCTCCATCCAGATCACTGCTCAAAAAGCCATAAAGTTTCAACAGAGGATAGAATCTTGATGGACAAAAGAATACAGATATTAGGTTGGAATACTTTCCAACAAAAAGAAAACAAATCTAATTTGGGACCCCTTGTGAAATAAAATTTTTATGTCTCTGCAAAATTGGTTCATAGAGAGTCAATAGTAAAACAGATTTTAAGATAGTGTTTTTTTTTTTTTTTAACTTTTGTGTGTGGGTGGGTGGGGGGGGGGGGGGGGTGGATTTCTGTAA